AGGGTCATGACAATGTCATTTTTAGATTCAACGATGGTTATTCTGTATAGTATAGATCAAATAAAAGTGGGAAACCGATGATTTGGTAGATTTATGACAAAAAGTACACCCACCCATGACCAAAAAAAAAAAAAAAACTGGCCCCATTTAGTTTTTCAAGTGAAAAGCACGGACTCTTTAAATCTAGTCTATCATACGAGTGGCATAGCGAGGGGGGGGGGGGGAGGGACCGCACCTTGTGACACCATTTAGGGGGGGGGGGGACACCAAGTCATAAAATACCAATCTATATAGAGAAAAATGATAATTCTACTTAATTAAGTGATTAATTAGAGTGTTAAATCGTCTTTTAAGAGCAAATTTGACAAATCCCGACAAGGGTGGAGGGGGTGGTGCAAATCAAAAGTATGAAAGGGGGGGGGGAGTTGCAAATCGAAAATTGAAAGTTTGTCCCCAGGCGCCAGGAAGGGTGTCTCTACGCCTCTTGGGGGGGGGGGGTGACACCATTAAGTGCCGCACCGGGTGACACCCGACCTCGCAACGCCAGTGCATCATACCAAACTGACGCCGATTTTCATGAGGTTTTTATCAAAATGTTACCAGTTACCAATCAATCGTGTAATTTTAGACGTGTGCCCTGCTTTCCAGAAGTTTAATTAAATGTGAACAAAGTCGGTAGTTCATTTCTTGTGGCTTTGTCCACACTACCAACGAGACACATCATGTAAGTCCCTCGGCGGTGGCCCAGGTATCGGGGGAGTCACAAGGCTCTTGTGAGCTACCGGTTATATTACTAAACGGGTGATGGGGGCAGCACTTGATAAAGGGTCATCCATTTATGACGCGAATAATTTGGGAAGTTAGACCCAGTGGCGTAGCTATGATTTTCGGGCCCCTATGCAAAAATTATCAGTGGGCCCCTTTGTCAGACTACAACAGAGTGAAACGAAGAAATCAACTGCTACTTCCGATGTAGGGTTTTAAATAATACTAGACTTACCCGTCATCCCTTGGATGACTGTGGGTTTCGGGGGTCATCCATAAATGACATCACATCTGTGACTTATCATCACAAAATAACCAGACCCACATTCAAAAAGACGTTTTTAAAAAAAACAAAAAACACCGATTTCGGCTGAGCATGGGTCTGACCACTATATCCCTTCATATACTGACGTCACAGGTGACCTACTCAACTCTACTTCACCTGTCCACTGTCCCGCCAAGTCTCAGACAACCAGTGTTTCTTCCAGACTTTTTTCTCCGGGGGGGGGGGGGGGAGGGGCACTTGAAATTTGGGGGGGGGGGGCGGTAAAAAAATTTCGGGGGGGGGGTGGGGTGGGATTTGCTCCCCCCGAAGAGATGCCTGGAAGAAACTCTGCAGACAACATGTTTTTATCGTTTAAAAAAACGCTTCCTTCCGAGCATGTCTCTGACCACACTATCCCTTCATATGTTGAGGACAAAGAAACAGGTCAACTCTACTTGACCTGCCCTGTGTCCCGCGAGGTCCTGATAGTCAACTTCATCGTTCACGTTTAAAAAAAAATGTTACTGTGTCTCGAGCGTAACCACCCCCACTTTAGCCATTCCACTATCATCTTAGCCATAGCGGCACTGAATAACCAATGTAAAATTTGTCCTAGAGTATACTGCAAAGTAAGAAACCAGTTATTTCTACAATAGAAAAGAAACTGAATTTTCCTTTTTTTTAAATTATTTATATTAAACAAATATTAGAATTTCAATGTAAAAGTTTTACTTTTTTAAAGAGGGAAAAGGGGCCCCCAAATGCCGTGGGCCCCTATGCCTTGCTTACGCTAGCTTTACGGTAGCTACGCCACTGGTTAGACCCCTCCTGCCCGTCCACACGGGTCCACTTTCGATACCCCCCCCCCCCCACCTCACCACTTCAGCACATTTTGTCATACACTAGACAGCACTAGTCAGTAGATATTAATTTACTAGCATAGTAATAGGTGCATCTAATTCACAAAACCGGGAAGGTAAGATTATGTTTATCATAATTATTTAGATATTAATTAAAAAGTTTAGAATTAATTGAACATTATTAGATCTAATAGTCAATTACTATTCATAAATAATAAATGATTTTTCAGCGACTTAAGGTAACCGGAAGTGGAACTTATTCTACTTTCATTTTTTTCAAAAGCCTATAACTTGAGTACTGTTTTAGATAGATGAACGAAATTTGACATGTTAGTAATTGATCTACTTTTCTGTCTTCTGTCAAATTTTGAGTAATTTCTGTTGACCGGAAGTAGTAATTTTCGCTATTTCCGATTTCTCAAAAAAAAAAACACGTGTATTTATACAGGTGAACGGAAAAACAAGTTATTAAAAAGTCTAGTGACAATTTAAGCGCAATTTCCTTATGTTATCCAATATCCATAACAATTTTAAATCGAGATAAATCATATATTCAGCAAATAAATAATGCAAAAAAAGTAGTTTTAATAATTCAAAACAAAATAGAAAAAATATTTATTCTTTAATAGGGTACAAAAATAACGTTTGAATTAATAAGTAAAAAATAAAGACAAATATATTAACCTATATCAACGGAAATAGTTTTATTTTAACGAGTAGGCCTACACGATGCTCAGTTTAAAAAAGTAGTAAATATCATCCTAGGCCTACACGATGCTCAGTTTAAATGTTCTTAATTAATTTTTTGTGACCGAACGAAAGGATATTTTTGAAAACTTTCTTCGGCAATATTGGTCTAAATTATGGCAGGAATCGATTGGTAAATGTTTCAAGTCGCTAAGTCAGGGGTCTCCAAACTACGGCCCGCGGGCCGGATGCGACCCGCGAGGTCCTCTCGTCCGGCCCGCGGAGATCTTTTTGACCACGGAAAAAACGTTTGTTGGTGATGGCTGAGGAACTTTGCTCAGAAAAATCACGACATGCCTAGAAGAAACTGGCCCCCGAACTGAAATTTGATAGTTAATGCGGCCCTCGGACTGAAAAGTTTGGAGACCCCTGCGCTAAGTGATCTGGTTGCCGAGATATGGGCCAAAAACTGCATTTGTTCGAGGTTTTTTGGCTTTTCCGGGAAATCCAGGAAGGAATTCCGGGAATTTTTTTGGCCCACAATCATCCTTGGAACTTGCTTAACATATTTGCTTTGGAACTAGTCCTCAATATTGCTTCGTTGAGGAGGAGATACGACTTAAAGCTGGGGACACACATCCATCCAGAAATGACGAGTTAATAATCGCAATTGTCCGTATGGAAATTGCGCTAAAAAGTCACAGGAAAAAAAACACAGAAAAAGTCAGTTTTTGCTAGGAAAAAAAGTCACCATGGAAAAATTTTATCGGAAAAAAAGTCACAGAAATAAAGTCACAGAAAAAAGTCACAATTTTTTTTCCAGAAATATTTTGGTTTAATTTGTTGAAAATTATAAAATTTTGTCTGTTTATTGTTGTGGATTGTATTTTTTGATAGCATTTATTATTTATAGACTTTAAAAGCATTATGGTTTAAAATTAATTAATTTACACACCAATCTCAACTTTTGTTAGTATTTAGTTAAATACGCGGTATAAAATCTAATTATAAAAGAAATTTAGGCACATCATTGTGTTTTGCATGTTTTGTCGTAGGCTATTCTCTGGTCGGCCTTGTCCGAACATATGGTGTGTTGTGGACGTTTTGTGTCAATGACAGCCTTTGAACCTTATCGGCTTTCTGTTTTGATCAAATGCTTTGTTATGTAATTAGCGTGATAAATGTGGGCGGTAAAGGTGGTTGAACTAATCATAACTATTGTTGCGATGAGTTGAGGGCAGCCAGTCAGATGAACTTACCATTTCACGGTAGTTTAATGTTAGTATTTTTTAAAAAGACAATGAAAACCGAGGACGTTGGTCTTGGAACATTCTATAAATGCTGTCAATATTATGTTTTACATAATTACAATCTAAATACTTCATACTAAATATTTTTAGATGAATTATAAAAATTACCATGCATATACAACCTACACACATTACATTACATTAATTAATCCTAAGTTAATTTGCACTCTCTGAATATAAAATTCATAAAAGTATTAACAAATATATATTTGTGTCTTTTTTCCTGTGACTTTTTTTTCCTGTGACTTTTTTTCTGTGTTTTTTTTTCTGTGTTTTTTTTTTCCTGTGACTTTTTTTCCTACAAATACAGTACTAATAATAATATTCTGCACTATTATGTACATTTTATTTGGCGCTCTCTTGGTGAGCAATTCTTTTTTCTACGAGATTTTATTCTATTTTAAAAAGTTTAAGTATTTAAAATGGATTAAAAATCATGCCTGTATCCCGAGTTGCCATCCCCTGTTGTTTCATCTATATATATAATTCTCTTCTGGGAGCCGCTAGAAAACAAGCTGCAAACGCGCTCCCTACCTCCCCACCCCTACATGGTTTTAGTGAGATGTGTTCACTCTAAATGTTGACAAGCAGAGCCAACGATTTTAAACGTAAGGGGGGGGGGGGGGGGGGGAAGGAAGGGGGGGGGGGGGTATGGTCCTTAACGAGCTACTTATAGTGTTTTAAAGAAATATTTACAGTGGCAGCGTTGGTACTGTCGAATTCACAAATTATGAATTACTGAAAAGTAGAAAAAAAAACAACTAAATAGAGGCGTATGATACACCGCGGGTCGGCTCGTATAAGAATATTCGAGAAAGTTTAGAAGAGAAGACTCCCGGTTCATTTTTAGATGTGAAGGATAAAGTTGCCTATCTGAACTTGGCGGGATAGTAGAGTTCACCTGTTTCTTTGTCCTTAGCATTTAAAGGGATAGGGTGGTCAGAGACATGCTCGGCCGGAATTGTTTTTTTAAACGATAAAAACATGTTGTCTGAGACTTGGCAGGTGAAGTAGAGTTGAGTAGGTCACCTGTGACGTCAGTATATGAAGGGATAGTGTAGTCAGACCCATTCTCAGCCGAAATCTGCATTTTTAAAAGATAAAAAACGTCTTTTGAGTGGGGGTCTCGTTATTTTGTGATAAGTGACAGACTTGATGTTATCTATGGATGACCCCCAAACCCACAGTTATCTAACTAGATAACTGACTGGTAGTCTAGTTACATTTAATTTATGGTAAGCTGATTTGCACTTTCTGAATATTTAATACATAAAAGTATTAACAAATTCCATGCAAATACATATTTGTGACTTTTTTTCTGGTTTCCTACATTCCTTTTATAACTTTCCTGCAAACTGATAATTTAACATCTGCACTCTCATGTACATCACAATATCATTAACATGAGTTTCTTGCTTTAATTATTCAATAAACTTGTCATCTTGATTGGCACATACAGTAGCAGTAATTCATTTTATACATTTAGTAAGCAGCTGGGAGAAGAGGTTGTATGTGACATAAATTTAAGGAGATTTTATACTCACACACAGTCACAAAAAAAGCCAGATCCTTAAACGATGTAATAATTAATAATCCACCTTTCTAAAATAACCACTTTTATTACATTAAAATTACAGTCACTGTACAGGTTAGAAAATAAAATAAAAGACTGTTTGGAAGAATTCCAGACATTTTACATATATTTTGGAACTATTATAAAATTATCCAGCATTTGTAATCTCATTTAATTACAGTATAATGACATTTAATTTAGGCAAATAAGCTAATGCTTGTATTTAATATTTTAATTTCTGTAAGAAAAGAATAGCTTTTCTAGCTGTCTCATGCCCCCCTCCCCCCCTTAAACATTTTGTAAGGACTAAAAGAACCTATTCTCCTTAATAATACAATGCTAACATATAAAGGACTTTAAAAGACCATTGAGTACACTTGTTTTGACGATTTTTACCTCCCCTCCATCACACATCGTCACAAAAATCCAGACCCTTCCCCTAAAATGATGTCACACCTTAGCCTACAACACACCTCCCCCCACCCCCTCTCAAGATTGCAGTTGAATTTTTCTTTAAAAATCGATATTTTGTCAAAATCTTGTCTGAAACATTGAGTATTTTAATCAATTCATTTTACAATTTGCTTGAAATTGCTTTTTTAAATACAAAAGTGTGACGTCACACCATCTGAACCCCCCCCCCTCATCACACACCTTCACAAAATTATGGAACCCACTCCCCCTACGAGTGTGACATCATTTATGAACAACCCCATAGGCGTATAAAAATAGTGTTGTTTTTTTAAAAATTAAACTGACAAATTGAGATTAAATCCACACAAAAAATGAACAGTGCTAAATTAATCCTAGCAATGTGAAGATAAGAAATTTTTGTCACATCAAAGTCACTACATTTTAGCTGCTTCAATATGTTGCTGTACTACTTAAAAGCTTAATATAGAAAATCTCTTTACTATCTTTATTTAATAAAAAAATTATTTTTTTACAATTTATCCTGTATAAATAAAAAAAATTTAACAAAATATTTTTTTATTTCACAATAAAACATTAATCTCATTTAATATGTGACTTTTCTATTTGCACTTTTACTTTTGATTCAATGCTTACTAAAATACCATCAATCTATAAAGACAGTTAAATAATTTAAAACATTATAATTAATCAATTTACTGATCTAGGTCTACTCTTGAGAGTATCCCAGACTTATCCAACCTATATAGGAAAGAAAACTTTATTTGGGCCTAAAATATTCAATGCACATAGATCTAGAGAAACCTTATCAGCAATTAAAAGAGAGGGTAGGGAGTGGGGGACACTGTGATTTAACATTAGTTTACACATCAATGTATAATATGTCATTGATGTAAATTTTATTCTTTTAAATGGCAACATTTTTTCCCTAAATTTAAAGAAATAATACAAATGAAACTATCATCAGAAAAAAATTGTACTGAAAATAAGGATTCTGAAAAAGTAGGATATTTGCCAAAATTCAGAAAAGTAACATCCATGAATATAAAGACCAAGGAAGTATTTTATAACTTATTATACAAATACAAGTATCATAAGTAAATGAAATTAGTGTTAAAAACATAAATCTAGCTCAACAAAAATACAATAAACTATAAAAACAAATGATTCCATTACATTTACAGAAGAGCTGATACAAATTATTTAAAACTTGCATTCTAAATATTAGCGTGTCTTTTCCCACTACTTTTTCTACGGCTCAGTTTTACTCTTCTTGATTTTTTCCCAGCCTCTGGTTCATCATCTTCTTTTATTCGTTCTCCATTTTTCATTCGCTCTAGGAATCTACGTTGATGTTGTAAAATTGGAAACAACTCTATAAAATAAAATCAATGTGTCTTATCCATCTGTCATTTCAATAAGATAAAAAACAATTCCAAATATAGTAAATGATTTCAAGTATGATCTAAACTTTTTAAAAATAATCTTTAACTGACCATGTTAATACCTACATCAAAATTTGTAAGACTAATTTTGAGAACATACCTTATTTTTAAATCCCAGACAAAAATAATTTAATGATATACAACTGCATATTAATGCTTCAAGTAGTTCAATATGTGTAGGTAATTTTATTTTTGGAGTATGGAATTTCTTTAGTTAACATTCACTGTGAGCCACCAATTTAATTAATTACTTCATAATTAAATCCTTTATGACCTTTTATAATATTAAATCAAGATCACTGTGTATTTCTGGCAGACCTATTTATTACCTGCACGTTTTTTTAGAGCCTGTGTAGCAGCAGCCATTTCTGCTTGTTGAATACTGTGACCTGTACCTCTAGCTAGACGTTTACCCCGGAAATACACAGCTACAACATATTTGCGTGTATTTGTGGGGCCAATGGATTCTATCACCCTAAAAATACATAATAAACAAATTAGTAGGAAATTTTTTTAAAATAATATTTTCAAAAATTAACCAAACCAAAATTATTTTTTTTTAAATGTTGAAGTGCATTTTTAACTTAAATGGAGCATGTAATTTTACTTACTTGTATACAGGAATGTCAGGTTCTCCTCCTCCAACTTCTCGAAGAGTCAAGCAACATTGCTGCAACTGTGATTTCGGGTCATTCCAATCTTGATTCAAAATGAAATCCTACACTCACAAAAAATATAAATAAGATTTATTGTGTAATATATCTGCATATTAATTGTACAAGACCTAATGTAGCATTTGTTTTTTAAAAAAACATCTGATTTATCCTGGGTTTGGAAATAGATTTTTGATTGAATTTATTGGTAGTGTGCTTCCGGTTGAAAGTATACTATAACAATGCTCTAGGAATTAATAAGAAAGTCTCAAAATATAATGTATTAAAAGAATTATGAATGAATTTTAATTTTTGATATCTTAAAATATCAAAAGTAGAATTTAGAATGTGGTTTTTTAAAAAGTGAGTGCAAGTGTAAACTCATTGCACAATTTTATTTATATTTATATCTGCATTTACCTTTAATCTTGGAAAGAAACAAACATTACAGAAAGTTCTACAGTAGTCCAAATCTTTATCCACAAAAAGAGCGCCAACAAAAGCTGAAGAGTTATTAAAGTAAAACTATGATAATTACAGTTTTTTTTATACTAAACTATTCACTAATGAAAAAAATAATTTCACAATTTCTCTCTTAGTAGGGTGCTGACTAAGATTTTAAACAACTTTATTATTGTTTAAGATGATTGTTTAAGATGTTTAAACAATTAAAAACTTCAATTATTTACCTTTAATTTGATAGGAATTTTAATTATTAAAATATATCTGTAGACTAGAAGATGCTTTTAGAAAAAAATCATTTGTTAATCAATGGCAATGATGCAATAACTGTTATGGTGGGTTAACTTTAAGGAATGTGTTGTGTGATTCAATTGACCATACAGCATATTTGTGTAGTCTGATAGAGTTGTTCTCATTCAAATACACAGCAGACAAAATGGGTGAGCTTGGTTGGCTGTTGCATCAATCGAGTTATTTTCGTAAATTATTCTTCAGGGTTAGGAATGTTTTTATTGATTAAAAATTAGTTTAATCCAGCAGGGCATTTAATTTTCTAGTCTCGGCCAAAGTTTTAGCAATATAAAAATTATTAATTATACTACAAGCCATAATGTCTATTATCTTATGTTACCTTATACTCAGCTAAACAAACAACTATACCACAGATGGATATTGGAAAGTGCATGGGAAAGATTAAACATTCATTTTTGTAATCTAATGAATATCGTTGTAGAATTTGCTTGATAAAACTAATTAAAACAATTATCGCTCAACTTTGCAAATAAAAGGTGGATCGGTATTTTCCAGCAGCCATCATTACCATGGCAACAGCTTTAAAAAGTAGATCAAGCAACAACCTACCTTCAAGTAACCTTAAATTTAATTCAAATAAATTATATTACATAACATTGAAAACTTACACTCCAGAATATCAGCTCTCTGTTTAGTCTTCATATCCAAACCATCACTGATAGCATTCTCATTGAATATAACATATTCTGACATTCCTAAGTCATCATAAACAAGACCTTGCGTCCGACTGTTTACTAATGATGACCGAAGAAGAGACAAGTGACCTTCGTGGTGCTCTGAAACAAAGTTTAAATTTATAACAACTTACTTTAGCAAAAGCCTTAAATTTACTCTAAAATAATAAAAATTTGTACTTAAAGTTTTAATGAGCATTATTTTTTTAGAAAACTACTTTTTAACATATTTTGTCTAAGAAAAGGCACTCTAAATATTCATTGCTTTTTAAAGCTTGTCGCTAAAAAGATTTGTAATATTTGTTTTATTTTCTACTTTTTAGTGATTCATAATTTATGAAGTCGACACAACTAAAAATATTTGCTTTAAAACACCATTGCGATATCTAACAGTGAAAGCAGCCATCCTTGATAAATATTTTACAGACAGCTTGTTATTAATTATTTTTTTTTACTTCCCCTTAGTTTCAAATCGTTTAAAAATGTCATTATCTGCTCCTAATAGCCTTCACTAGATAGACCATCTACACGATTGTAGACATTTGGCATGTTATTGAATATAGTAATCTATGGTGTGATTTTTTGTTATCTCCCCTTAGTGCAGAAACTGTTTAATCCATTTTTAATGATAATTAAACATACAATTTAATTTTTAAAAAACTTGTACTGTCATCTAAGTTAAACATATCTGGGAAGTTTGAATTAAATTGCTGCATTAGAAGTGGGTCTAAATTGAGTTACAAGATTTGCCTTAAATCCACAAACTAAAAACAAACAACAGTTGCGAACTAAATTAAAGCTTGTAATAAGATTAATTATATAATTCCTTATCATAAATTATGTGTAATTTTTAACAAGCTGTTCATCTAGATCAGCAATAGTTAATCTTTGGTCTTAGGGATGGTAGAATGCATGCCATATCAATCACATTAAATTAGCTTGATAGATGTATTTTTTTCTATAATTTGCTTTAAAAATCATAACAGATCTGTTTGACATATCTTGATCAAACATCTTTTTATAAAGAAATTTAGAATGAATATACAAACCAGGATAATGTTTATACAGATACTCAGACGCTATGAGCTGTAATACTGTATCTCCTAAAAACTCTAACCTCTGATTATGGCCCCTAGAAAAGTAGAAGCGTTTTTAAAAATATATATATTTCAATGGTAAACAATTATAAAATGAGAACTTTTTACATTTTGAAATAAATGATAATTCAATAGAAATGAAAAATTACATTTCTCATTATATTTTTCTTCTATTTTCTAACTAATAGAATCAGCAATAATAATCTAAATATGTTTGTATGTTTAAATTTTTAGTGTTTTATGTTAAACTGTATAATATCTCATCAACCTACATGGGAAACCGACTAATTTTATATTGGCCAGTCACAAAACAATTATAAAGGCTTCAGCAAACCTAAAAATGTTATCTTCACTGTATAATTTCCCACAGTTTGAGTACATCTTGTTAATAGAAAGAAGTAACTTGCTTACATAGTAAGAGGATTTGTTCCAATATTTCTGTGTGTAAAAGCTTTAGCTAAAAGCCGAATATGATTAAAACGAATTCCAATTGATTCTTCAAACTTCTCAAGCTTCTGTAATAAAAAAAAATATTTTGAATATTAATCAAAAGGCATTTTTGAAGTCAGAGTTTACAAATAATAAAGCATATTTTTTGAAGAATAGATGAGTTTTAAAATTAGTAATTATAGTAGTCTCAAAAGCTCAAATCTGTTTGTTCACTTCAAGTAATAAATTGTAATTATGGGCAAGGTCTATCCTTTCAATTCAGGTTCCCCTTAGTCTACTGCTTGTCCATAAGGGTAGTTTGATGGCAAATTGTGCAAAAACACATAAATCATTAAATCAATGGGATAGCATATGATTGCAAACTCCAAAAGTCAAGAGTTTTGATCCCCCAGGGTAGATGAGGCTCATTAGCCAGGAACAGCAAGCAATCTATGACAGAAAACTCCAAAATCAAACAACTGCTGCAAAACATATTATTCTTGAGTGGACAAAGACTATAGAAGCAAATTTCTGAAAGAAAACCAGACACGGTTACACATAATACTCCATTGGGTTGGAGATTTCCTTCAATATTATACAATTAAGAATGAAGAAGATTAAATTGGTACTTCATGGAGATTCATTATATATAGGCCTTTAAAATATTATATATATATATATATATATATATATATATATCTGCCAGAGGGTACGAACTCGTGACTTTTCAGTTTAGAAACCATGAGCTTTACAGACTCTACCACGTAAAACCTCTATACTTTTCATCCAACCATCATGAAATTGTTGAGAATACTCCTGGGAAGGTTTCTGTGATAAAAAAATTAAATTTTACAGGGGTTGCACCCCCGCAGGATGTGATTAGCTGCCCAGAGTTCCTCAGCAGCTATTTTAGCACCTGGGATTCGTAGACTGGCTGTCCTGCACAAGGGGTCAGGGTACTACTTAGTTCAACATTCAAACTGCACCAGGTGCATCCCCAGGCTTCTCAGTTAGCACTATGGTAGCTACTTTTGTTTTAAAGTAAAGTGAACTAGGTTTTACCTGTTTCTATGACCTGATATATGAAGGGATAGTGCGGTCAGCACTATTCCGAGCTGGGAGGATTCAGAGATGTTCTACTGACTTGAACCCGATTTTGAACTCAAGACATTTGGGTTAGCAGTCTAGCACTCTACCATTAGGCTACGCCATCCCTATTTGTTTTAAAGAGTGCCATACAATAGGGACATGGGGGCAACTATTTAATGATCTACCAAACCAGGGAACGCGCAGCACTGGCTCCCGAGAGAACCCAGCGATGCTGATGAAACCTATTCAAAGGATGATTAATGAACACTCAAGACGTTTGTTAATAGAACAGTAGTGTGGACAAACCCGCACCCCAACAACTAGGATCCAAGACATAGCGTTGGCTTTGTTTAAATTTAAATAACTCAGTTTTAGAACAAAGGTCATGCATATAAAATACAATTGAATACACATAGGAGAAATCCACTTCAAATGTAGTATCTGCCTTTCTTCTGAGATCACAGTAGCTTTTGTCTTTTATACAATAACTAGGCATGACGCCCAGCTTCGCTTAGGCTTTCGAAAACATTGAGAATTTGAATGCTTAATAAATTCGCCCATATAAGGCGCCGGTCAGTCAAGGTCAGTTTTGACCCCCCTCATCGTAGACTTTTCGGCCAACCGGCCCCCCGTGTTCTGTCGCCCCAAGGCAAGATCCTGCCAAATTTGAAGCGCCTGCGGTGCCGGGAAGTGCCCTATCGGGCACCCGACAACTTAGCTTCATATATTATATAGATTAGCAAATTGCATAAATAAACAAAGATTTCAATAAAGTAATTGAGGCCTGAAATTACATCTGTGTAAGTCTAGTTTTTCCGTAGATCTAGATAATTTAGATCTAGATCTATAATCTCTAGATCTAGATGATCTAGAATCTCTAGATCTAGATGATCTAGAATATCTAGATCTAGAATTCAAATAGATAAAATAATTTGTTTAAGTTTAGGCCGAGAAAATCGTATTGTATACATTTCATAGCGTACATAGCTCTAAATCATATTTGAATGAAATAGTTCATTTCTTTTTATTCTAAACTCGGAAGATGACGTCATAAGTTTTGTGCTCTTTTTTTAGTGTAAACAATAAGCGACGTCATTGTTAAATGCGTTCTTGTCCCAAATTTAAACACTTTTCAGGTTGCATAATTAAAATTGTTTTTCTACATTCGAATACGCCTTTATTTTTTATTTTTCTTCTTTAAATAAAATTGTGGTTATACATTTAAAACATCTAACATATTATTTTCAACAAAAGTCCGTATAAAGTTCTTCATATATCGCTGCAGTTTCTGATGTGATGTCAGGCGAAAATATTTTGCGGACAGACAGAGAGAGAGAGAAGTGCGCACGGGGGCCATTATATATTAGGATGGCTTTGAAATTATGTATACTGTTTTTAAACTTAAAACAATATGTACATGCATGAGCACATTACTTGATATGAATCTTTGCACATCCTATTATAAAATGTGTTCAGCTCAAGCTGATTCTGATCATGTTTCAATATGTTAATGTTCATACTTATTAACATGTTAAATCTAATGACAGGAAAGTACCATTAACATGGAAAAAACGTTTTATGTAAAAAAAAATATTTAAACCAAGTTTTGTTTCTAGGCACATAAAATGTACCAGAAATTTTAAATCCACAATTAAATATGATTATTTTATATTTGTTTAGCTCCTATTTTGTTTAATGTTACTATAAAAAATACAACCTGCAAAATAGGACTTGACTTAACCCATCGCCTATCACCACCTGGTTCTTGCTGCTGTAACACATGCTTGGGCAGGTCATTCCATGTATGGAGAAGTATTTGATCATCATCAAATAATGCACGTGAGAAAATTTTATCAACCACATCTATACCTGCAAGGTTTTTAAAAAGCAAGATTTGCATGATAAAGTATAAGTAAAGATCCCCTTTCAGACCTAACGATTTATAGGACAGGTGAAGTAGAGTAACATGTTCCTTAACCTCATTATACAAAGGGATGGTGCAATGTCCAGCTCAGCTGCCTTTACTTTTCCTTAACTTGAGTTAGGTACTCATAAGAGCTGGGTGGACTGAGGCATATCCTAGAAACACTAGAGTCCATGATCCAAACTCGTTACTTTCTATTTAGTAGTCAAGCACTGAACAAATTAACCACCTCATCACATGCATAATCTATATATATAATTCTCTTCTGGGAGCCGTTAGAAAATAAAATACTTAAAAAAAACTTTTTAAAAAACCACGTTTTTCTTGTGGACTAAAAAGTAGAAAATAACTATTTACATACATTTGATGACAAAAAACGTGGGTACGTTCACCATCAAATTTCCCGACCCATCTGCCCGACCCACGTTTTTTGTCATCAAATGTATGTAAATAGTTATTTTCTACTTTTTAGTCCACAAGAAAAACGTGGTTTTTTAAAAAGTTTTTTTTAAGTATTTTATTTTCTCCTTTTTAGTCCGTTGCTACACATGAAAAACGTGGTTTTTAAAAAAGTTTTTTATATAGTTTATTTTCTACTTTATCTAATGACTTGATTAAGTATGAATTGACTAAGTGTTTATAAATACACGGACTAAAAAAATCTTGAGCGACCAGGATTCGAACCTGGGTTGTCGCGGCCACAACGCGAAGTACTAACCACTATACGATCACGGCCAGCGCGCTCACATCGATTGGGGCCGAAGTAACTGTGTCAATAAGCCTCCAGTCTTGTCGGTATCTTTAGAAATCATGTCCTCAATTTTATGGTCCTTGGGGCGTAATTAAATTAAGCTAATTACGGTCTCTAATTGCTAGTTTTTATGATTGCATCTGAAATTGTTAGGCGAAAGTAACCTGCATGCCAAATTTCAGATCTATAGATCAATAAGAAGTGGGCTAATTTTCGATGTCAATTTTAACAACAAACACACAAACGCGAAGCTGAGTTAATAAAAACGTGTTAACAAGCTGCAAACGCGCCTTGCAATCCCCTCTCTTCCTCTCTGTCGCTACCACCCCCCCCCCCCACCCCTTCACATGGTTTGATGAGCTGTGTTCACCCTAAATGTTTACATTTTACAATCGTAGAACCGGGTTTGGTGACGGCTGTTAGGGGCAGATAATTTAGTTTGAAACGATTTTAAACTTAGAGGAGGTAACTAAGAGGAGGCTGCTTTCACGGGGGGGGGGGGGGAAGGGGTGTTTAGTATTGTAAAGTAAATATTTTCAGTGGCAGCATTGGTACTGTCGAATTAACAAATTATGAATTACTGAAAGGTAGAAAAAAAAAACAACTAAATAGCGGAGTATGATACACCGCGGGTCGGCTCGTATTATATAAATGTCAAAATTTTAAGGTTTTATTTTCAAATATGAAAGTATTAACTATCTCTGAAGTTTTTATAAAAATACTTTTAAGTGTTACATTGTACTGGCTGTCATCAGCAATAATTGTTGAAAAAGTACCTTTCAATTTTTTTTACCCAATTTTGTCAATGCCTATTTAAAGCTTAAGTTGAAGTTACCTCCATCCAAAAATAAAGCACCCATTAAAGCTTCGCAACAGTTTGCCATAGCATGACGAAGATCAGATTCATGACATAGATCAGGGCCATGGACGTACAACATGTAATCCTGTAAATAATTATGTACATTTAGAACTAAGATCAGATTCATGAAATAGATCAGGGCCATGGACGTACAACATGTAATCCTGTAAATAATTATGTACATTTAGAACTAAGATCAGATTCATGAAATAGATCAGGGCCATGGACGTACAACATGTAATCCTGTAAATAATTATGTACATTTAGAACTAAGATCAGATTCATGAAATAGATCAGGGCCATGGACGTACAACATGTAATCCTGTAAATAATTATGTACATTTAGAACTAAGATCAGATTCATGACACAGATCAGGGCCATGGACGTACAACATGTAATCCTGTAAATAATTATGTACATTTAGAACTAAGATCAGATTCATGACACAGATCAGGGCCATGGACGTACAACATGTAATCCTGTAAATAATTATGTACATTTAGAACTAAGATCAGATTCATGAAATAGATCAGGGCCATGGACGTACAACATGTAATCCTGTAAATAATTATGTACATTTAGAACTAAGATCAGATTCATGAAATAGATCAGGGCCATGGACGTACAACATGTAATCCTGTAAATAATTATGTACATTTAGAACTAAGATCAGATTCATGAAATAGATCAGGGCCATGGACGTACAACATGTAATCCTGTAAATAATTATGTACATTTAGAACTAAGATCAGATTCATGACACAGATCAGGGCCATGGACGTACAACATGTAATCCTGTAAATAATTATGTACATTTAGAACTAAGATCAGATTCATGACACAGATCAGGGCCATGGACGTACAACATGTAATCCTGTAAATAATTATGTACATTTAGAACTAAGATCAGATTCATGACATAGATCAGGGCCATGGACGTACAACATGTAATCCTGTAAATAATTATGTACATTTAGAACTAAGATCAGATTCATGAAATAGATCAGGGCCATAGACGTACAACATGTAATCCTGTAAATAATTATGTACATTTAGAACTAAGATCGGATTCATGAAATAGATCAGGGCCATGGACGTACAACATGTAATCCTGTAAATAATTATGTACATTTAGAACTAAGATCAGATTCATGACACAGATCAGGGCCATGGACGTACAACATGTAATCCTGTAAATAATTATGTACATTTAGAACTAAGAATAATTTATTCCATGCTCATAAAAATAATTTTGAACGACCTACATGTAGTTTTAACTTTTTAGCTAAAACAGCTAGGTGTTGATTTTGAACTAGGGCCATTCTATAAGTTGTAAGACCTCCTTCCTCTAACCATGGGAACATATAAAAAAGATGAACACTTGTTAAAAACTCAATCACAGCATCACCCAAGAATTCAAGCCTCTCATTGTGTGGAATTTCTGAAAAAATAAAATAAAGACTAATTCTAGCTTCATAAATAAGAATAAAATCACAGGAATAGGAATTACAATTGCTGCAGTGTGTACATTTTTTTATCATATTATGTATGACTGTGTTTAAACAATAACTCTTTTAAAAAAATATTAAAAAACCACAGAATTTAACCTACACAGTGCCCTTCATACAAAATATTTCAACAAGTTTTGGTACTTAAAAGAATTTTACCTGATGCTGTTTCTTCTTGTTTTCCAAGACGTGACATAATGTCTACAAGTATGCATATTCCTCTTTTTCTTGTGTTTTGATAATGAATACGTCTATCACCATATTCAACCTGCCTCATACCACAGTTTGTCAAAGAGTTGCGTGTGTGGTCTGGATTTGTACCATAATTGGTACGATAAGATGTGTGTGTCAGTGACAACTAAAAAGTGAAAAAGATGTAATTTTCTTTTAGGCAAATAAGTATTTTTGTTTAAAATTCAAACTAAATTACAACAAATCTGAATGATAGTTAAATGTAAATACTGCTTTTGTGTTTATCATTGTTTTGAAAAATGTTTCAATTAAAAAAACCCATGTAACTGCTATGACCCAACCTATTTCAAACACAGCTCAAAGCATAACTTACTAAGCAGGTCTACAAAAAACAGAACTATGATAAATGTAAAATAACCCGAAAAAGATATAACAATTACAATTTATTGACAAAATTTAACTGAAAAAAGGAATAAACTAGTTTTCCCAGACAATTCTGGAGCAAGTAATAAAATCATTAATGCTACAGCAACAACCACTGAAAACCACAAAATATACAGGTCTTTCACAGAATGAGGACACAAATCAATCAACAGATTTTCTCTACCTCTCCTAATATGAAGTGAGCTATCTAAAAGGTCTCTCCTATCTTCTCTACTGCCTCATACTGTTTTACTAAAATTAACCAGAATATGAAAACAAAGATCGATAACTTCACCCTTGAATATTCTAGTCAGTATCACTCGTTACAAAATCATTACGGAAAGTCACTCTCAATAACCACACACTGTTTAATTCAGAGCACTGTAATCACCATAGCGACCCATTTGTTACAGTAAACTGTAGGAAATGAGCATTACAAACCTGAAGTAAATTTCTATCTGCAAATTTGTACTCAATTTTATCTTCAAGTATGTCTAGGCAAATGTGAAATCGTAGGTGACTCATTAAAACTGGAACCATCAAAGCATGTTGACACAAATCGGCTCGTAATCCAGTACAAAGGAAACCTTTGCTGCTTAGCTCTATTGTTACCTAAAATATATACAAAAAAGCCAGTTAAAATAAGGTATTTGAGAAAAAAACAGTTTTATCATTAAGATATTCAACTTATCATTAATTACTAAATAATTGTAGTCTCAAGGTGAAAGAAAATACAAAAATACTTGAATAAAAAATTAGGCTAATAAAACAATTCATACTTCTCTTTTCATCGTTTTCTTCATTCTAATTTCCCTAAGCTTTTCTTCCTGTTCTTTTAGCTTCAGTTTGTCTGCTGGTAATATTTTAGGTTTGCTATTTAAGAGGTGACGGAATTTTACATATTGTTTCCATGCCTTACGGTAGACTGGGTCACCAGCATAGCTCAGTTGTGCTGGTCTATAACCCTAGAAAATGTACAATATACAAGGCATGTTTTTAATTCATCATCTCTGACTCTTACATAATACAGAAGACAAGTCTTTAAAACAGGTTTCAAAATGCAGTGTATCCCCCCACAGGGGGTTGGAGGGGGGGGGGGGGTGCAATTAGGAGTTTAAAAAAAAATATGCAAAATATTAGGAATTTATAAAAAAAAACAAAGAGTAACATTAAAATTTCTATAGATCATAGTACAATTTTATTCATGAGGCAAATCATCAATTTCAATACTCATTGCAAATCTGAAAAAATCAGGCTGGGGGGAAGTTAATCAAACCATCAAAATCAGCATTTAGAAATATTGAGGGAAAAAATTACAAACATTAAACTTGACTTATTCCTTTAAGGCCCCTGAGAGCAAAGGGCTGCAGCTACACCTCTCTACTGGACCCGGTTTTTGGCAGCTCTCTTTATTTGAGCCCATGAAAACCCGACAACCCCTGTCTCCCATTCTACAGTTTTTCACCAGGATTGCCTTGGCTGGCCTATATCTTGTTCAAGCGGAAACACCAATCATTGAGTCAAACAAACGAAAAGTTTGAATGCTAAATTGATGGCTGCATTTGCTACTAATAATACAACTCAAAGCAAACTCTATTAAATTTTGTTTCAATGCAAATTAAATAGAGATCTACATGTGAGTATTTTAGACTGCAAAACATGTATCTTCTAAACTTATCTGTGTCCACGATAAAGTATTTAACAGATAATTTCTTCATACATAATTTTGTTGTCTACCGCTCGTGTCTGTGTTAATTACTTTATATGTAATTTATTGTGAACAAAATTGTTGCATTAGCACAAAAAGTGATTAAATCATTTCATGACATCAAGTTTGAGTCTTGCTTTGCAAATTTAATTAAACAATTTTACAGCAACAACCAAAATACAGTTTTTTTGTATTTGTAGCTAAATTTGGGAGAATGGGAATTATAAACATTTTTGTATTGTAAATAAGAATTCACAATTCACCAATGTGTCTTCAATGAATGAAATAAAGCTATTTTAGAAATTAATATACCGCATTCAGTACTTGTTCATCCTTGTTCAAATACAAACGATTTTTTATTTCAAAGACAGCTACCAGAAGTAGATAATTGGTTATGGACAGTAGAACACAGGGCAAAGACTGGGTTCACACCAAAATGAAATATAACTAAATTGAATGAGAGTCTGCTTTTTCCAGTTAGTTTAATAGCCATAGATGGGGCATTGCACAGAAGATAGGGAAACGCTGCTATGGCATCTAAAATTTAAACAACAATATTTTATAAATATTTTGACCAACTAAATTACTTATAATAACAGTAACGCAATCTATATATATAATTCTCTTCTGGGAGCCGTTAGAATACAAGCTGCACGCGCCTCCTTGCAGTCCCCTCTCTTTCTCTCTATCACTATCACTACCACCCCCACCCCACCCCCACCCCACCCCCACATTGTCTGGTGAGTTGTGGTCACGCTAAATGTTTACAAATCGTAGAGCCGTAGAGCCCGGTTTCTATTAGGGGCAGATAATTTAGTTCGATTTTAAACTTACAGGACTTGACTTAGTCCTCTTTGCTCCTTATGGAGCATAGGGCCTCCACCATTTCCTTCCATTTCTTCCTATCCTCGGCTATTAATTTTGACATCTCCCAAGACATCCCTGTTGGCTTCAGTTCTTCAAGAAGACTCTGCCTCCAGGTCTGTCTTGGGCGCCCTCTCTTCCACTTTCCCTGGGGGTTCCACTCAAGCGCTTACAGGAGGTGACTAAGAAATAACTAAGAGGAGGCTGCTTTCACGGGGGGGGGGGGGGGGGGGGGATCGGGGAAAAGGGGGGGGAGGAGGGGGGTTAGTGTTTTAAAGCAAATATTTTCAGTGGCAGCATTGGTACTGTCGAATTCACAAATTATGAATTACTGAAAAGTAGAAAATAAAACAACTAAATAGCGGCGTATGATACGCTGCGGGTCGGCTCGTACATCATAATGAACTAAAGGTTACATAAATATTTGTTTTATTCTCAATGTAAAAAAAAAACATGCAAAATTACCTGATGAATAATTAGTGGGTACTTGGGTAGATCATTTTGTATATCTTCCTCTTGTGTAGTTGTTTTATCTGGTTTATTACCCTTTTCTTCATCATCACTTTCAACGAAACTGTCCAATTTAATTTGTGGTGTAGTAACTTTTCTGTCCAGCTGGTCAATGCGAACTGAGCTTGGTTTCTGTTAATCAAAAATTATTTTTAATTGCACATTGATAGCAGAAAAGAAAATGTGAGTGCAATTTATAGATCAACCAACTGGCTAACATTATTTGTTATAAAAGATAGCAATTTTAAAATCCAATTTAATTAGAATCAGCAGAAACAATATTTAATTACTTACCATGCCTGGATTTGTGACAATCATGCCTCTTAAATTGTCAACCATATTGTGCCATTCACTTTCACCACAATCCATGATTTCTTGGAGTCTTGACTCTTCAACAAGAGGTGAAGCACTTTTGATTAAAAAGCTAAGTACAGTATTCATAGAAAGTACTTCTTTACATCCAGAATCAGGAAGAGTTCGACAAAACCTTGGCATAAAGTGAAAACGATTGCATCCCCCTTCTTGACCAGTCCAGTCCAAATCAACTAGTTCCAAAATTTCAGAAAATATAAACCTAAAAAAAAAAATCAGAGACTATTACAGAATAACTAACCAAAAAGAACAGTAGTAGTAAAATAAGTATAAAGCTATTTACATTGAACAGGATATTACTTTAAATAATTCTACTTACAATACTCAGAACTTTAAAATCAAACTAGGATTCTTTTTGTTTTCAAACTAAGATTTTAATCTGGCAAGAAATTAAATTAACTTTCACTGGTAGTTGTAAAAAGTGTATGATAACAGTGTTATTATAACAAAGCTGATGTTTTCTTGCATTTTAATCAAAACCATGGTGCTAATATGCTACTTGCTACTAGAAAGTTTGAAAAATCATCTGTTTTATAGCATCTTTTATTGTCTTGCCAGAGGTTTTATAAAAACTTAAACCAATTTAATTATTCGTTTTCTGTGTATAAGTGTTGAAATGGAAAACATTTTTCTGAGCTTTAATTTTTTATCAATAATTAAGGTACATACGTGTTGAATAAATTTATACTGCGCACAGTGAAGTTCTCAGGAGCAGATTCAGGGATAAAGTGGATTGTGTACTCAATGTTAAAACGCAGAAGTTTACATGGTGGAATATTTTCAAGTTTGCTATGACTGAACATTGAGAATCCTTCAAAGATGTACTCATGATTGTCATGATTGATTAGGGTAGGCACCTATAAACATGATTAGAAAACTTTTTTCAAATTTTAGATTTAAATGTTAACTACACCAGTAATTAACAAACAATTATCATAAATAGTGTCTTTTTAATCAATCTAATAAATTTAATATAGAAAATAGTAAAGGAAATTAAATAAAAGTGTGATAAGTACAACATATCTACTTTTTTATAGATGCTTTAAATAATTATTTATTATTATAAAATATTATCATTAATATAAGGTACATGTATGTTCAAACCTTTGTAAGAAAGTTTGTGTATGGCGACATAGTTATTCGATAGTGATACAAATCTCTCAGATTGTTACTTTCATCTTTGCATACATTAATAGCCTTTTCTCCTGGATATATGTCATGCCGAATACCTGACTGTCTTGATTTAATACTGCACCTGCATAGCGGTCCATCGTTGGCCTAAAAAAATATTCTCAAAAATCAATTATCCCACATGAAAAAAGTTCAACTTCATATGTATATATATGTATATATGTGTATGTATGTGTGTGTATGTGTGTGTATGTGTGTGTATGTGTATGTTTGTGTGTGTATGTGTATGTGTGTGTATGTGTGTGTATGTGTATGTATGTGTGTGTATGTGTGTATGTGTGTGTATATATGTGTGTATATGTGTGTATATATGTGTGTATATGTGTGTATATATGTGTGTATATGTGTGTATATATGTGTATATATGTGTATATATGTGTGTATATATGTGTAAATATGTGTGTATATATGTGTATATATGTGTGTATATGTGTGTATATGTGTGTATAAATGTGTATATATGAGTGTATATGTGTGTATATGTGTGTATATGTGTGTATATGTGTGTATATGTGTGTATATGTGTGTATATATATGTATATATGTGTATATATGTGTATATATGTGTATATATGTGTATATATGTGTATATATGTGTGTATATGTGTGTATATATGTGTGTATATGTGTGTATATATGTGTGTATATGTGTGTATATATGTGTATATATGTGTATATATGTGTGTATATATGTGTAAATATGTGTGTATATATGTGTATATATGTGTGTATATGTGTGTATATGTGTGTATAAATGTGTATATATGAGTGTATATGTGTGTATATGTGTGTATATGTGTGTATATGTGTGTATATATATGTATATATGTGTATATATGTGTATATATGTGTATATATGTGTATATATGTGTGTATATGTGTATATATATATATATATATATATATATATATATATATATATATATATATATATATATATATATATATATATATATATATATATAATTCTCTTCTGGGAGACGGTAGAAAACAAGCTGTAAGCGCGTTCCCTACCACCCCACCCCAACATGGTCTGGTGAGCTGTGGTTCACGCTAAATGTTAACATTCGTGGAGCTGGGTTTAGTGACGGCTATTAGGGGCAGATAATTTCGTTTGAAACGATTTTAAACTTAGGGGAGGTAGCTAAGAGGAGGCTGCTTTCACTGGGGGGGGGGGGGGGGGTAGGGGTTGGGGGAAATGAGGGTGGGGGTAGTATCGTCCTTAACGACCTACTGATAGTGTTTAAAAGCAAATATTATCAGTGGCAGCATTGGTACTGTCGAATTCACAAATCATGAATTACTGAAAAGTAGAAATTATACAACTAAATAGCGGCGTATGATATGCCGGTGGGTCGGCTCGTATATATATATATATATATATATATATATATATATATGTTCTGTAAAAAATATTGTTTAATATTGCAAGGGCGGCGCACCACCGGGGGGGGGGCGATTTTTTTCTCTATATACGGTATATAAAAAATAAAACTTTAGGAAGTAGACTAGCGTACCAGACCCCCGCGCGTTGCCGCAGGGATAGAAGAAAGTTTGACGAAATATATTAGGATTTCACCAACGCTTTATCAATTATAATTATATGTTCTTAGACGCGTGACCTACTTTTCTAAAACCTTGAGTGTACATTAATTAATATGGTAGAACACACTTCGGTGAGCGCCTCTGTGTAAGAGCGTAGAGGGGCGCTCTCATGCCCCCCCCCCCCCCCCCCCCGATTTTACTACCGCATAGGCGCGGCGTACTACCCCTGGCTCCTTAAAACTAACAGGCGTCATCGGCCAAATAGCATCCTGTTAATAAAGATGCAGATTTCGTCATTCGCTAAAGTGACACAAATGATCAGGATTTTTTCTTTGACACGAAAAAAAAATTATTTGACATGTTTTAAGTATCAGTGTGACTGATGCAATATGCTAGCGTTACTAATGGTCTATTATTAGATGCTCGATCTCAATTTCTGACTGGATTGTCTAATAATATATGCTTATTGCATCATTCGCAAAGTGACGAAACTCTACAGTAGGCTCCTCATATTCAAAATGTTATTTTTTCATCTTTCGCAAGGTGATGAAACTGTACAGAAGGATTTCCTCGCGTTACAAAGTTATTTTTAGAAGCCTGTTGTAGTTTTACCGCTGAATATAGTAGTACTCCTTACTCGCAATGCAGGACGCTCGATTAACAGATGCCAAGTGCCAACATAGTCGCTCTAAAACTCTGGGCGCCAAACCGTGTATTGACGAAAGTTGTACCCTATATGTCGCGCCCATAAGAAACTTTAGTTTTCTTTTTCGCAGAAATATTCTCGGAAGTATTCCCATCTACTCCCTAAAGTTCATGGTACTCGGATGAACCGCATCCGAGTTTTATTTTTTATAAACCGTGTATAGAGAAAAAAAATCGCTCCCACCCTGCCACCCCGGGGACGCCGCCCTTGCAATATTAAACAATATTTTTTTGCAGAACCCTACCATTGAGTGATCTAATCATCTCCCCAAACTTTCATGGTACACAGATGAACGGTGCGAAACAGAAATTTTATAAACCGTATATAGAGAAAAATCGCAGCCTCCCGTGGTGCCGCCCTTGCGAAATTAAAAATGATTTTTACAGAACCTTTCCCTAGAGTTTTATAATGAACTCCCCAAAGTTTTATGCCTATCGGATAAACGGTGTCACTGCAATTCACTTTTATTATTTTTATATACCGTAAATAGAGAAAAATCGGACCCTCCCGTGGCGCCGCCCTTGCGAAATTAAATATTTTTTTTTACAGAACCCTTCCCTAGAGTGTTATAATGAACTCCCCAAAGTCTCATGACTATCGGATGAACGATGTCAAAACAAAATCGACTTTTATTTTTATATACCGTATATAGAGAAAAAACAAATTGCGCCCTGCCGGGGCGCCACCCCGGCGAATTTGAAATTTTCTTTTCGCAGAAACCTCCCTAGGAATATTCTCAACAACTTCCCAAAGTTTCATGCCTATCGGATGAACGGTGTCACCGCAATTCACTTTTATTATTTTTATATACCATATATAGAGGAAAATCGCACCCTCCAGTGGCACCGCCCTTGCGAAATTAAAAATTATTTTTTTTACAGAACCCTTCCTTTGAGTGTTATTATGAACTCCCCAAAGTCTAATGGCTATCAGATGAACGATGTCAAACCAAAATTGACTTTTTATTTTTATATACCGTATATAGAGAAAAACAAATCGCGCCCTGCCGGGGCGCCACCCCTGCGAATTTGAAAAATTTTTTTCCGCAGAAACCTCCCCAGAAATATTCTCAACAACTTCCCAAAGTTTCACGGCGATGTGATGAGAGGTGTAGTAATGCATAAAGGACAAACACACACACACACAAACACACATACATTGCTTTTTATATATATATATATATATATATATATATATATATATATATATATATATATATATATATATATATATATATATATATATATATATATATATATATATATATATGTATATATATATATATATGTATATATGTATATGTATATATATGTGGATGTATATATATATATGTGTATGTATATATGTGTATATATATAAAATTGTGTATATATGTGTGTGTGTGTGTGTATATATATATATATATATATATATATATATATATACATACACACACGAAAATACCAATATAGATTAGAATACTCTTGTTCAAGTTTTAAAATTAAAAATACTTAGTTTTTATTAAAAGTAAAAACAAGTTATAACATGTCATTTGTGTGACTGCTTATAGTCTGTTTTGAAAATCTCTGTTTTAAAATGTTTGCTATAATCATAATGCCTCCTGTAAATAAGTTGTACGAAATAATATGAAGCATAAAAGCTGTGATGTGTAATGGTTTCTCGCCCTATGTTTATTTTTATGTTTTTTTTTGTATTTATATTATTAGTTTTAAATACATTTCCTTTTTATGCTTTGTAACTCTTTAAACTTTAATATGTATTTTTTTTTAAATAATAATTAAGAGAAGTAATTGCTTTTTAATTTGTTTAGTGCAAATCTATTAAAAGGTGCTTAAGAGCACACATATTTGACTATTTAAAAAAGGGAAATAAGTCATGGAAGTGGTTTGAACATTTGCGTATCTTTCACGTGATGGATTAATTTTCAAAAGAATTTTGCCAACAACAGCGTGTGTTTGATTGTAGGAGAAGGAGGACTTGAGATGGTGTCTATAAAATAAAGATAATCCAACCTCAGCTTCAGTATTCTTTTTGCAAAACAACCATCAAGTCAAAAATGCAAGATTTTTTTTTAACTGTAAAAAAAAATTGTTTATGGTCGGCTGCGGGCCCCTAAACGTCCTCCTCCTTCCCCCCCCCCCCCCCCCCCGGCATTGCGAGGTCTGGCGGCACTGTAGTTCCGCCCCTGTAATGACATAATGACAAGTTCAGGATCGGCACTGAAGTCCTTAAAGACGTCTCTAAATCCACTAAACTCTGAAGGGTTCATGACTAGCATTACTTAGGAAGGTAAAAGTGGTTGGGCAAAGTAAGGGCTCTAATCACTTCATATGCAGAGGCAGAGACTAGGTGAATTGTTTGGCTTGGTTCAAAAAAGAAACCTTGGACATAGTATCCAGAAACAGATACTTATACTTGGCATGAACAAAAATAAATGTAATCCCTTTAAATAATTGTTAACATCAGATGATTGGTATTTTAAAATTAACCATAAACATTAAAAAAAAGAATTCTTATGCTATATAATATGTAATGTGTTAACTGACCTGTCCTTTTAAATTGTACCACAGCTCTGGATGAAGACTATAAGGATGTTTTTTTCTTTTGTCCCATTCTTCCATTATTTGACTAACAGCACCATCATCCTCATCATCCTCATCAGAAGAGGAAGAGGAGGAGCTGTCACATGAGGATTTAGTGCCAGTGCAATGATGGTGATGATGGTGAGTTGGAGGTTGATGCGATGGCTCCTCAATTTTGTCTTGAGTGCTCACAAATTTTTGTGATCTTTTAACTATTTCACTTTCAAATTTATTTTCTAATTCAATCATTCTAGGAGTAGCCTCCATGTTACCAGTTTCTGAATTTCTTATAAAATATAAATCTGCAGGACAACTTCGAGTAAAATAATTAATGTTGTCAGAAGTTGCCAATTCCTCATCAGAACCATGATCACTAACATCCAGCTTAGGTCTCTTTAGTGGTAATGCAGTATCAATTTTATCATTTTTTTCACTTTTAAGCAAATCTTGACGATACTGACTTAGTTGGCTAGAAACTGAACCTAAGCTGAACCCTAAGGAAACAGGAATATTTTTATGCTCAAATGACTTCTCTCTTATGTGACGTGAACGTGAATTGCTGGGTGAAGTTGATGATCTAAGTCTTGAACGAGAATGTGCATGCATTTCCCTATGTGAAGATGATCTATATTCTCTCTTAGAATAACTACTCTTGCCTAAGGTCCTGCTTGTTCTATTTCTGCGATCTTGGGAAGCTGACACGAAACTATCTCTTTTTCTAATGCTGTCATGATCTCTGCTATAGTATGTTGAGTTTTCTCTTTGTGGTGCTTTTGGGTTTAGCTTTGGTCTTGCTGAATGTTGTCCACTAAAAAAAGATTTTGACCCAGTTGTATTATCAACTTTGCTATTATCATTTAACATTAATTCACTTGTTTTCCCCTCCAAGTCTCTTTTTTTATTTGTAGTTGATTCATCATTCCTTGGAGGAAAAGTGGTTTTTTTCTGTGTTTCATATTTGTTTGCTTCTGAGTACCTTTCATAGGCACCATCTGCAAAGTTTGACATTTGAGTTCCTTGCTGTCTGGGATGATATGAAATGCTACCTGGCTTCAATCTATTTCCTGAGAAATCATTCATCTTCAAACTAATATTCTCAGCTTTTCCTAAATTCATACCAGATGTATCTGTTTCATTAGACCGAGGTACATGTATTTCAAACATTTCTGAATTGGAAAAGTTACAGTTAAGGTTTGAGGAGATATTTAAATTTCTGTTATTGAAGTTCCCACTTTGATTAAAATTACTTCCAGTGTTTGTGTTACTTCCCTTTATGTTAGTATTGTTAGTAAATTTGGCATCATAATTTTTTTCAAGCAATAGTGGAGCTGGCTGGTTTGCAAATGGGTTCATTAAAAACACATTGGAAGTTGACGAATTCATAAGCATACTGTGATGAGGTTGTGAGTTACAGAAAAAAGTATTGGTCTGAGGTGTTCCACAGTTCATAATAGGTCTTGTAAAACTACTAGGATTATTGTTCATAGGAGGAAAAGACATTGGAAATCTGGGGCCCTGAAATGTATGCCTATTATTTAAATGAGTTTGAGCTGTCATTCTTGAAGTGGAGTTTGGATATCTAATGTTTGGGTTTTGTATGAATCTTTGAAAAGCAAACTGCTGTAATTCTGTATGTTGACTTTGTTGAAAATGTGGAGCTTGATACTGATGTTGCTGATTATGTGTCTGTGGAAGCTGAAATGTTTTCTTCTGCAAATCTTGCATTGCTACCAGTATCTCAGGTGGCTGACTGTGAACTGACTGTTGATTCTGAAACTAATTATAACAAGAAGTAGTGGTTAAAAGGGTGCAGTAGCAATTTTGTATATTAAAACTGATTTAAAAATTAAATTGTTTTACAAGGAATAACATATAATGCCCAGCCATAATAAATTTGATTGAGTGCTTCATATATTAACTTAATTCAGAGTTATTAATGTAAAGCTTAGCCCTAATATGAATCCTCTTTGTAAATAATTTAATTTTTACTTTTGAAATACATCTTTTAATAAGATTGTACTAAAACTTAAAAAAAGCTAAAGCTTCAATTTCCCTAATGAACAGTGATGTTTTAAACAAAATCAAAGTAAGGCAATATAGTTTTTTTTTTAAATTACTGATTGTTATTTTTTAAAACTATGTTAATGCTTAAATGTTACAATATAAATAATAATGGTCAAAAATAAAATAAATATATAACAAAGCTTTTTAATCATAAGTTCTTAAACACAATATAAATAAGAAAACAAAACAAACGTTCTTTCTTTAGTAAATAAATTTGTCACTCATGAAACATCTTATATATTTTAGAAACTAATGCTTTTATTAAAGAAATCGATTTGCTTTTATTCTCTTATTTTCAGTGCATTCTATATAATAGTTTCGCTGTCTGTCTATGTATCTATGTATCTATCTATCTGACAAGAACACTCTAGAGAAAACACAAGCAAAATAAAAACATGCACAGTAAGGCGGAAACGAAATATGACATCACATTTAGCATATAGTAAAAAATAGTATCAAGCCGGAGAGTGCACACAGTAATATGACGTCATTGATTCTCAAGTAAACATTGAATTAAAAAGCCAATTTTGTCTAATCTTAAAAGTGGTTTGCGTGAAGAGTTTCTTTCATACAATTCTTCAGGTAGGGGCGAAGCCCATCCCCCGCGTAAGAACGTCTAAGCCAACCCCCCCCCCCCCCCAACTCAAAAGAAATGTCGTCATCGATACTCTATAATAAAATTACAGCCTAATTCTAATTCATGTGTCTAATCTAAAAAGTGGTTTGCGTGCAGAGTTTCTTTCATGCAATTCTTCGGGTAGTGGCTAAGCGCGACACCAGTGTTTCTTTCAGACTTTTTCCTCCCCGGAGGGAGGAACTTTTTCTAATCTAAAAAGTGTTTAGCGTGCACAGTTTTTTCATGCATCTCTTCAGGTAGGGGCGAAGCCCCGCCCAGGTTCTTCCTTTAGTTTGTATGATCTACAAATGCGACCAGTGTTTCTTTCAGACTTTTTCCTCCCCGGAGAGGGGTGGGGGTACTTGAAATTTTCGGGGGCGGGGGTAGAATTTTCTGGGAGGGGGCGGACACTGGAAAAAGTATATAATTATATTTCGTTGAATGGGACGGTAGACATGTTTTGGAGTGTGTGTGGGGGGGGGGGGGGGGGGGAAGTTTAGTTTAGAGAAAAGAGACAGCACTATCAACCTAGCGCCCGATGTATCCTTCCTCAACGGGCCATTTTTACCGTTTATAAAGATTTTAGCTAAGGTATTTTTTGACTATCTACTTTTAAGTAATTAAGATGTTTAAAAATTAAAATATAATTAAAATTATAAAAAATAAGATGAGTAATATCTTGGAGGATAGAGACTGGTAAAAGTGGAAAGTCAATAAAGAGCTTTCTGTGGCAGCCCCATGTGTCCTCCACACAAAAGGGAAAAATGATTATTTACCTTTAATTTGATACCAATTTTAATTATCAAAATTAATCCCTAGTTTAGAAAATGATTTGTAAAAAAAAAAAAACGCTATGATGATATGACTGACACTCAATGGTACAGTGGGTTAGTTTTTAAGGAATGTTGTGATGCGATTGACCATTCACTGATTTTGAGCAGAAATGTGTCGTCTGATAGATTTCTTCCCATTCAAATACATGGCGGGCAAAATGGGTGGGCTTAGTTCTTTTATGAAGGATTTGTTTTTACCCTGCATGATTTTCTTAAAATTATTTAAATTATTTTAGTAGGATGCAATATATAATTTTCTATAGTTTACAGTATTTTTGAGTATGTTTACAAAAATATTAAATAAAGCAAATCATGTTTTTCTTACTTTTATTATGTTCTGCTTGATATTCTCAATAATTAGACCAAAAAAATGTATAAATGGCCAGCATGCATCAAACTCATATGTCCATTGTTAAAACTAGATCGGTATTATTGAATAATACAAAAAAATATTTATTATTATATGTATATATTTCTGCAATGACCATGAAACATTGTTAATAAATGGAATCACAGTATCGTCATTTTCAACAGCCATCATTGCCATGACAACAGTAAAAAAAGTAGGTCAAGCGACAGGCTAAACCCCAAGCAGTAGTTTATTTTATCTTTATAAGTCAAGTATCTGCCCCTTTTAATGTCCAAGGTTGGTACTCAGGCTGAAACTATCTGGTAGAGGGATCTTGTGCTTATTTTTTAATCTACACTTTTGACATTTAATTTTTTAATTACTACTTAAAATGACTCATTTAATATCTGATTTCAATAAAATGAGATATTCTTACATCTTGAGAGGAAGTCTGAACATAATCACTGAATTAGAAGTGGATCAAAATTGAGTAACAAGATTTGCCAAAAAACGCACAGAAAGACAGACATTGAACACTATAAAAGCTTGTAATAAAAGCACAGACAGTGCAAATATCTTACTTGATTTTGCGTTGTAAAATGCTGCTTCTGCATAGTAATTTTTTGTGAGTGCAGAGTAGCTGGAATATTGTTGGGATCTCCTCTGCCTGCCATCTATGCCATTTTTATAACATTAGCATTATCTGCATGAATCTATTCATAACAAACAAATGGGATTTATTATTTATATTCAATTCATTTTTTTGTGAAAGCAAAATCTACAATTTTTTAACGTTATAAAATACCAAACTCTATTGTGAAAATATTTCATTAAGAAGGGAAATCCTCATGGTGGAATGATTTTAAATGATAATAAAACAATTTATTTTAATTATTGAATGTGATACCCAATTAAATTAAGTTTTTAGAATCTAAGTTTTTTAAAGAATAAAATAAAAGTTTAAAATTGTGACGATTTAATCTAGTAGGGTTATTAGCTGCATACGAAACTATTGGCTACTGGCGGGGACTCTCAGAAGAAAGGCTGATGTAATATTTTAAGAGGATTTTATAAATGCTTTACCAATCGTGCATTTTTAGAATAATGACTTTGTTTTCTAAAACTCAAGTTATTTAAATCTGAAGAAAGCAGGCACTATATTTCTTGGATCATAGTTGATGGGGTGTGGGTTTGTCCTTACTACAGCCCAGTAGTCACCGGGTGAGCTGTATCGAAGTCTTGAGAGTACGTTGACCACCTACCGTACTAGTGAGTTAGGACACACCTCAGAGACCACCCTGATGCCAGGGGTATTGTGGACGTTCTCAGGAGCCACCAGTTACACTACCGTGTTCCTAGTGTAGGCTGCTCTTAAAAACATATGCAGGGAAGAGCCCGGGTGATGCAGGTTCAATTTAGTGAACAATTATAGTAGCCCATAGTGTATCGCAGTCTTTAAAACAAACATTGAGGCCAAAGTGATAACTGGGAGGAACATTGGTTGCAGAATGTTTTTCTCATTACACATCAGCTTCGCTTGTCCAACCAAGCCTTTCTTTATGTCACTCATGTTCTTTGCTCCATTGATAGTCAGACAACTGAGGTTAGTCCAGTCAAAGTTATAATCAGCAAATGTTTTTAACTCATTGAATATATTATCTCCGGTAACAGTGCCAAAATCTAAGTGGGGAAACCAGCTCTAGTGTTATGTTTATGTCTTTATCCACACCTCTGATGAACACAAGCAGCTAAGAGGTGGAACAGCTGTCCAGCGAATCACCCATTGCAATTGAATAATGGCGAAACTTGCTTGCATTTTTTGAGACAATGTTTTAACAAATGTCTGCAATACAGCGGGCAATAGTATTTGCACCCAAAGCTACTTTTCCAAATTATTTTGCCTTTTCTGGGTAACGTTCCTCAACCAATTCCAACAAATTTTTTAGCAATAATGTTTTACGCTGTTGAGGAAGATTGTAGGAAAAAAAGTCACAGGAAAAAAAAACACAGGAAAAAAAAACACAGAAAAAAAGTCACAGGAAAAAAAGTCACAGGAAAAAAAGTCACAAATATATATTTGCATGATATTTGTTAATACTTTTAAATCTTTTATGTATTAAATATTTAGAGAGTGCAAATTAACTTAGGATTAATTAAATGTAATGTGTGTAGGCTTTATAGGCATAGAAATTTTTTTTTATAATTCATCTAAAAATATTTATTATGAAGTATGTAGATTGTAATTATTTTAAACTTAAGATTAGTAGCATTTAATAGAATGCTCCAAAGTCCACGGTTTTCATCGTGTTATTTTTAAATACCATTAAATTACCGTGAAATGGTAAGTTCATCTGGCTTGCTGCCCTCAACTCATGGCAACAATAGTTATATTTAGTTCAACCACCTTTACTGCCCACATGTATCACGCTCATTACATAACAAAACTGAGGATCAAAACAGAAAGCCGACAAGGTTCAAAGGCTGTCATTGACGCATAACGTCAACAACACACAATATGTTCGGACAATGCCTACTGAGGAGAGGCCGACCGGAGAATAGCCTACGGCAAAATGTGCCTAAATTTCTTTTATAATTAACTTTTCTACCGCGTATTTAACTAAATACGTAACAAAAGTTGAGATTGTTGTGTTAATTATCTTAGAGTATTTTTACTTACAATTGTTATAAATCATGCTTTTAACGTCTATAAATAATTTATGCTATCAAAAAATAAAACCCACAACAATAAACATACAAAATTTTACAATTCTTAACAAATTAATAAAAATATTTCTAAAAAGATTTTTGTGACTTTTTTTCTGTGACTTTATTTCTGTGACTTTTTTTCCGATAAAATTTTTCCACCGTGACTTTTTTTCTGTGACTTTTTTTCCTAGCAAAAACTGTGACTTTTTTTCTGTGTTTTTTTTTCCTGTGACTTTTTTTCCGTTTACCGGTTGGAAAGCATAACACACTACTGTGCGCCTCTATTTTAATTCTGTAAAAACATAATGTCCTATTCCCAACCGACTGGGAATACTACAAAATACAAATAGCCTTGACCAATCTAGGACTTCTACTAGCTAACTTGATCTAGAATCTAGAACAATATACTAATATACTTCTATTAAAGCCTTGACAATGAGGTAACTTTTTCGTACATTTTACATTACTACGTTTAAAAGACGTAGTAGACTAAAGCGATAGATTACCCAATGGCAATTCCAAATTATATTAGTATTAGTCTACTATTAGACTATTATTACAACTATTACTACCCATCTTCTTTGAATCTTTAGTTCATAACTTTAAAAAAAAAACAAAAAAACATAAACCACAATTTGTTTTCGCAAATTGTGTCTCGCTATTTACCCGTGATTCCGCATTTTCTTCTCGCATTTTACCGCCTCATTTTGCTTCGTCTCGCAATTTGAATTTCCCAACGCCCAACACCCGTTTTGAAAGTTACAAAAAATTTACAGTTTCATTTTCATTCATGTACCTGTGTTTGAGCAATTGTTTTAAGCTTTTCAGTAAGCCTAATAAATAATATCTAGAAAAAATAAAGACTAGCGATGTTTTCATCAGATGCAACCAAGCTCATTTAGACATTTACTTTACCAGCCATCTTGTTTGTTTTTTTGTAAAATTTTAGAGGTTCAGGGGAAACCACTCAAATTTACAGATGGCCGCTGTTTATGATAATACAAGAAAAATTCGACCATATTTTCTGCCCACATTAATCACGCTCATTACATAATAATAAAGCATAGGGTCAAAACAGAAAGCCGACACAATACAAAGGCATTGACGCAAAACATCAACAACACACAATATGGTCGGACAAAGCCGACTGAGGAGAAGCCGACTAGAGAATGGCCTAAGGCGAAAAACATGCAAAACACAATCAATGATGTGCCTAAATTTCTTTCGAAATTAATTTTTCTACCGCATATTTAACTAAATACTAAATACGTAACAACAGTAGAGATTGCTGTGTAAATTATTTTATAGTACTTTTTTTACTATTATTGTTATAAACTAGTTCTATAAGGGTCATTCATAAATGACGTCACGCTTTTTTTGACGATTTTACCTCCCTCCTCCCCTCCGTCACACATCGTCACAAAAAGCCAGACCCCCCCCCCCAAATGACGTCACACCTCAGCCTACAACCCTCGTCAAAATTGCAGTTTTTTAATCATATCTATTAAAATTTATTTAAACAGTTTTCTAAAACGTGAAATAACGGTTAAAACTCGTTTTCTAACATAGCTTTTTTGTAATACAAAAGTGTGACGTCACACCATCTGAATTTCCCCCTCCCACTCATCATCAGTGTTTCTTCCAGACTTTTTTCCTCCGGGGGGGGGGGGGCGGCACTTGATATTTTGGGGGGTCAACATTTTTCGGGGGGGGGGGGGGCACACACCATCACAAAATTACGGACCCTCCCCCCCCCCCCCATTACGAGTGTGACGTCATTTATGGACGACCCCTAAATCAAATTTGAATTAAATAGTTCATTTCTTTATATTCTAAAATCGGAAAATGACGTCATAAGTTTTGTGTTCTTACTTTAGTGTAAACATTTGGCATGTGACGTCTTTGTTTCATTGCGTTATTGTCACAACTATAAACTCTTCTCCGTTTGCATAATTAAAATTGTTTTTACACTCAAATATGCCTTTATTTATTTTTTTTTTCTGTATCAAATTCTCCAAAGATCGCTGACGATACAGATATCATAGCCTGTGAAAATATTTGGCGGACAGAGAGAGAGAGAATTGCGCATGGTCTTTTATATATTAGGATAATAGTAATAGCAACTCTATATTGATATATTTAGCCATTGATTTCGGTTTATTCTTCATTTATCTATAATATCTAACACAAATATATATATATCAGGTTTATCTGGAGTATTCTAAACGACTTCCCAATGTTTCAGGGCGATGTGGATCTTCTTCTTTCTTCTTCTTCGTACTTAATTATTTAGTGTTGAAGGGAATCGAGATTTATCTGCCAGTGGTTTGAACTCGAGACTTTGTTCGAATTTATCAACCATGAGCTTTTTGCCGACTCGACCACGCCTCCAACACAATTAAGCGTTACGTGTCAACTGGTTATGCGCCCTTGAGGCCATTGACTCCGATTTCAGCCTGCTTTTCTTTTTGGATTTGCTTGATTGGCCTTTGACCAACCAAGAACAAACTACAAGGCAGCAGTTGTTTAAGGAGTTGTCTCTCCTAGAAGAGTGGCTGTCCCCAGCTAACGAGCCTCATCTGCCCGAGGGTTCGAACTCGAGACTTTTCGGTTTATATTAATGTATCGGGCCTAATGGACAGACAGACAAAAAAAAATCTGGATGGATGGAATTTCGTGGAGGGCAGACAGCTGTGAGGGGGGGGGGATGCAGATTTGTGGGGTGGGATAGAGAATTTCCCAGTCAATTGAGATTTGTAGTAATGCGTGTACATTTACGGGTGCCAGTTACCAATCTCACAAAGAGTCAAAGTTCAAGTTTATTTTAGCTTAATTGGCTTGTACGACAGTGTTGTTAATACGGATGGGCACTGCACGACCCCCCCCCTCCCCCCTCACCACTGAGATACCATTGCCTGTACAGTGAGAAACGACTGGGGGCCTTTTAGAACTTTTATTTATGTCTAATATAGAAAAGAAACTGATTTCCATTTTCTTTTTAAAATTATCTTTATTAAAGAAATATTAAAATTTCCATGTAATAGTCTTATTTTTTTTATAGGAGGGTAAATTGCCCCTATGTCTTGCTTACGCTAGCTTTGCGGTAGCTACGCCACTGACCACTGCACAGACTGTAGTGGAAATAATAAGCAAACCTTCAAATGGCAGTGAATTCCGTGATTCGTTGCTCCCCTGTGCAGAGGCGTAGCGAGGTGGGGGGCTGGGGGTGCGGACCGCACCGGGTGACACCATTTAGAGGGTGACACCAAGGCAAAAAATAGCAAAATATATAGAGAAAAACTTGAGGGGGGGGGGTTCAAATCGAAATTTTGATGGGGGGGGTGCAAATCGAAAATTTGAAAGTTTGTCCCCGGGAAGGGTCGCTACGCCTCTGGGGGGGGGTGACACCATTAAGGTCAACAACGTCATCACGATGAAGTAGTAGTATTATGATAGTTTGGGCGATAGTGATTACGATTACAAATTATATGAAACAGTATCCACCAGTGGCGTAAGAGGGGGGGGCAGGGGGGTGTGGTGATGTAATGTGTATGAAAGGTGAATACGTGGAACGGATCACTGCGTGTGTGTATGTATCATGTAGTGAGACGCGAGGCCGGGTGTGTTGACGTGAATGTTGTTGTACGGAGTGAACGAGGGTACAAGGGAAGCGACTGGTCGGGTGACAGTGGCTGTGTTGTGAGCGGGAGAAAGGTGGTGTGTAGGAACGAATGCGGAGGACAGTTAAAAGTTGGAGCGAAAGCAAACAGGTTGATGTGGGACTAGGGGCGCGTTTGAAGAGAAATAAAGGATACTGTGATACCTAATCTCAATCGTGTTGGTTGTGCATTCGTTGAGATCCTGACACCCTCACAGGGGGGGGGGGGGTGTTATAACCCCTCCCCCACCTTTGGACCCTTCTGTAAAAAAATATTGTCATAATAGTAAATAATAATAATGCTACTTATTTAAATCTATTTCTGAATCAGTATACATATATAATTAAATATGTATGTTTAGAACAGTCATCTAAAAACTGACGCTATGTGCACTCTGAGTTGGTTCTCCCCCCCCCCCCCCCCCCACACACACACCCCACAATTGTGTAGAGCGACATTAATGTCACACCTAGGTATACACAGGGTTGGATAATTGACCTAAAGTGACCGGACAGTGGTGAATGAAGTTGAACCTCCACCCCCGCGTAAGAACGTCTGAGCCCCCCCCCTCCCTAACTCAAAAGAAATTTCTTCATCGATACTCTATAATAAAATTACCGCCTAATTAATGTGTCTAATCTAAAAAGTGGTTTTCTTGCAATTTCTTTAATGCAATTCTTCGGGTAGTGGCTAAGCGCGACACCAGTGTTTCTTTCAGACTTTTTCCTCCCCGGAGAGGGGTGGGGGTACTTGAAATTTTCGGGGGCGGGGGTAGAATTTTCGGGGAGGGGGCGGACACTGGAAAAAGTATTATAATTATATTTCGTTGAATGGGACGGTAGACATGTTTTTTTGGGGGTGGGGGGGGTGATGTGGGGGGGGGGTGGTTTTAGTTTAGAGAAAAGAGACAGCACTATCAGCCTAGCGCCCGTTGTATCCTTCCTCAACGGGCCATTTTTCTCGTATATATATATATATATATATATATATATATATATATATATATATATATATATATATATATATATATATATATATATATATATACAAGAGCTTTCCATGCTGACGAAATAACTTTTTGGTGTGTTCCGAATGACTCGTCTTAAAATGACGTTTAGTTTTGAAGATTTCATAGACTTATGACTGAGAACAACTTTGCACAGTACGCATTGTTTCTTTTCTATTCCACTTCTAGTGATGTTAGTTAAGTCGAATTTCAGATATTCTTCTGAATATTTATGTTTTTAATTTCTTTGCTAGTGTTTAGTCTACCAGTTGGCGATCCCCAAGAAAACCCCAGGGGGGGTCGCAACCCACAGTTTGGGAATCTATGTACTAGCAAATAATATGATATCAATCGATTTGTCATTAAATCGGTCTTCAGTTTCTCTCATCACGCATTCACAATACTCTTTCATCCTTGCGAATGTTGTTTTAGGATTTTCATATCTGATCAGGTGTATTTTTTATCCTAAATTTTCCTTTATCAGGCAACGAACTTTGTTTTGCAAGTCGCTATTGCTGTCTTCGCTTTACTTTGCAATATCCTGTAAATGCATTTTTGTTGCAGCAATTAGGGGAAGAACTTGGGTTAAAATCAAGTCTTTTTTTTTTGCAAATAATTACAAAGGTATGAGAGTGCACAAAGGAGGTTATTCATCACTTGGCAAACTATGATAAAACTCAAATTTCTGATTTCAAGTAGTATTCCCCCTGCCAGCGATGCAAGGTCTGCTCCTTCCTTGTGTATATGCTCACGTGCCATTAAAATAGAAGCAATGCTCCTGTTGACAGCATTAGCTATTCTGTAATGAGACAGCCATCTTACCTCAATACATTCTGGAATTTTTAGAATAGGATCGTCAATTAGCACTTGAATTTCATGCAACAAAGTTTTTTTAGGGGACTTGCTAAATATCTTATAATTATAAATAAATTTTAAAATATGCAGAAACCTTTTGACCTTCTGGTTTTTGTTCCCGCAAGAGGCCGCTGCTGGAGATTTATTATCCACAAATCTCAGCATAATACTAAGTTCCATCTAATTTCGCACGGAAGTACTTTCATCCGCCAAAACAGACAACCTTCTGTTCTGCACTGATTGTTTTATTTCTTCTCGCAAAACTTCGCCCTTGCACACAAGAAGTTCACTGGCGGTGTTCTTTGCTGTAGGTTGATGTGAGGGTGGGGATTTTTACGAGAGGCCGGAACGAATGATTCCAATAACACACAGTTCAAGTTCCAAATACAAAGTTCTTTATTCATATGTATATAATCATGTTCTACCTAACTAGCTATA